ACTTAAAACAGTTGTATTGGTGTATTTTGAGATTACATGTCAACCAACAATTTGTTGTGTAGCACTTAAAGGTCGTTAGGCGTGTAACGTTGTTTAGAAGAAATTTTTTTTGGAATGATAGGGGTAGACTTTTATTTATTTTATTTATTTATTTATTTTTTTTTTTGTTGTTTTGGTTTTAGTTATTTATTTATTTTTAATTTAATATGATAGGGGTATACTTAGATATGTATGTTTTCGCAGTGGAAATCAGAATCTCGTGGCCTTTGAATGATGTGTGAGAAACCAAATTATGATATTTGACTATGCAAAGAGTGTTAATTTCTCTTATTAAATGTTGTTACATGTAACTTTTTTCTCGCCTCCTTCAAAAAGAAAAGATCGTTGCATTATTAAAAAAAATAAAAAAAAAAATTGAAATGTGATAGTTATGAGAATGAGATGAGAGGAACAATTTAAAGACAAATCTGAATCAAATGCAACAAATTAGATTTGGAAAGTGGCGATCATCTAGAGCCTGGACATATATATTAAGAATTTAAAATAAATAAAATCTAAAATTCATTGTAACCTAAAAATACCCAGAAAATCCCGTTAAAACTGTCGAAAACTGCAAATTTCGTTAGAAAATTAACGAATATTTCAGAAAATAGAGATTCAATTATCGAAAAATATATAAACTGAAAACATAAAATTGATTATGGGCTATTGCAACCGTAAGAATATTGGTTTGGCATCATCCGACAAACCTAAGTGTTTTGTAGAAGATTTCTTGCTAAGCAAGCAAAATAAATTAAAGGGAAATTTTTCTATTTATTTACTTGTTATTTAATTAAGTTCCTAATATTTATTATTAATAATATATGGTATATACTTATTGTAGTATGTATTATGGAATCCTAATCACTTAGGAGAAGGATTACATTGTATATATCTTATATATTTACTTACCATATATGTCACATGCCATAATTAGTTCTCTCTTTCTTGTAGGACAAGGAATAAGTAGCAATAACTTTGAAAGGATGAACAATTCGTGCACAAGGAGTTCTGGACGTTCATGAGAAAATCCAAGGGGGATTTGGAAAGATTCACCACAAGATCTTTGAAGATTTGAAAGATCGACTATTTTTGAAAAGTCGTGTTCTTACACGATCTGGGAACACAAGATTCCATTGGAAGCTCAATTTTGAAGATCTTCAAATCACATCACGATTTCTACATTAAGAAAACTTATTTTACATGAAGGATTTCGTCCAAATCAGAAAGGAATCAATTAAGAAGGAAATTGACTCCTAAAAGGAAAAGAAAGAATTTGTGAAGACTTCTTACCTTAAGAAGATTGTATATAAGCCTACTCAAACAATCAATTGAAGACAAGAGATATGCTGCAAATCGTTCATCATTCATCAAGATTCAATTGAGTGTTTGAGAGATTTTTATTCTTTTTATTTTATTCGTCACAGCACTTCAGCGTTCTTACATTGTTGACAAACTGAGTTTGTTTAGTGAATTTTTCTTTTTACAAACACTTTTTGAGTGTTTAGGGATACTGAGTTTGCTCAAGGGATTCGAGTATGTAAAGTCCACGGGACGTGGCCAGGGAAGTAGTCGATAGGATCGAATATAGTGTTGGCTAGACTAGGAGGAAGTCCGAGTCGCGTAAATCCAAGTTGTATTTTGTGGGACGTAAAACCGATATATCAATGAAAGAGCTCTGAAGGGTAGTGGGACGCTCCAGAATTTTTTTTAAGTTTTATTTTCTTGTGTTGCAACACGGTTTAGTAATCCAGAATTTTTGTGTTCTAACACAAACTGCGTACTCTATACTCCCCCACCATTGTTTCAGCAACTCATAAAATTTAAGAGAAACAAAAGAAGCTCTCGACCACCAATTTTATACAACCGAGTCACCAAGAATTGCCAGTTGAAGTTTCAAGCTCGCCGATCGACATTACTAATATCAAAAACCTTGATCGTTCTATAATTGCTGGAGATGGAGAGCTTCGATCGACGATCAGACAATAAATTAGATTCTTAAAAAAAATGCATTTTAAGTATATATATTTTTTTAATAAAAATCCAACCATCGAATATTAAGTAATGATTTAGTATATTTTAAGTAAAGGTATGTATATAAGTGTTAGAAACGGGATTAGTGGGGCGGTACATCTCAACCACATGCCCACCGCCCCAATCATTTCTCCATTCAAATAAAAAAAAAAATTATTAAAAATTGCAAGTGAATTGCAATTTGCAGGCCAACTTGTGGCCTCTGCTTTCCTATAAATAGAAGGCCCGGCAGAAGAGAAAAAATTGCACCAAATAGAGGAAAAGAAAGGAAAGAAAGGAAAAGAGAAAGGAAAGAAAATATAGATTTATGTCCAAATATAGGATATAAAAATATCAAAAGAGAGAAACAAGTGATATTTTTATTTGCTTTAAAATATTCCTTTTATTTTTAAGTGCTCAATTCTCAACTCCATTCCCGTTCGCCGGAGCTCGTAAATCTAGTGTGCTACAGATTTAGAGACGTTTGCCGTTGTATCTTTGGGGAAGTTACGTCTGAACCGTTAGCTGCCACACGAGGCGTATTCTTCTTGCGGAAAGAGTTTTACTCGCCTCAGCTAAAATCTTTCCGTTTTTTCAGTTGTAATTTATTATTCAGTTCAATTGTAATTTTCTATTTTAGATTATTTGTAAGAACTGAAAATGCATATCAGTTCGTAGGATTCCCGTGTATTTTTATACCAAAACATCCAACAATCGCAAGAAGAATAATCAGTCATCCTACTGAACTGATGGCATCCACCGGAGCAGGTTCCAGCTCTCAGCATCCGATTAATCATGTACCTGCTGTCCATGTTCCTACAGCTGAAAAGCCCGAAAAATTCAACGGGCTTGACTTTAAGAGGTGGCAACAAAAGATGCATTTTTACCAGACCACTTTGGGTTTGGTGAAATACCTGAAGGACGACCCTCCGGTCATTTCTGAGAATGAGACCAATGCAGAACTACGCGCTGCGTACGATGCTTGGGGGCAAGGTGACTACCTTTGCCGTAGCTATGTCCTGAACGGGCTTAGTAACGAGTTGTACAATGTGTACAACTCTGTTGGTTCTGCCAAGGAGCTTTGGGCTGCCCTAGAGAAGAAGTACAAGACCGAGGATGCCGGGGCGAAGAAATTCGTCGTCGGCATGTTTCTTGACTTCAAGATGGTTGACACGAAGACTGTCGTGTCACAAGTGCAAGAGTTCCAGCTAATTTGCACGATATCCATGCTGAAGCGATGACCTTGAGCGAGTCATTCCAAGTAGCGGCTGTGATCGAGAAGCTGCCGCCAGGCTGGAAGGACTTCAAGAACTATCTCAAGCACAAGAGAAAGGAGATGAGTCCTGAAGATCTGGTAGTTCGACTTCGTATCGAGGAGGACAACCAAAAGTCATCAGGAAAAGTCCCGATGATGGAAGCTCGTGCCAACTTGCTGGAGCAAGGCAACTCGAGCAAGAGGAAGACCCAGAACAAGGGAAAGCAGCCAGCCAAGGTTTGGAAGTTTACCGGAACTTGTTACAATTGTGGAAAAGCAAACCATATGGCTAAAGACTGCAAGAGGCCAAAGAAAGCTGGGCTAAATAAAGGGCAACCGAGTGCCCTTGTTGTTGAAAACGGCCCTGTGCCGAGTGAATTGACTGACTTTGATATGTCGGCGGTGGTGTTTGAAGCCAATTTGGTGGATAACTCGAGAGAGTGGTACATCGATACTGGTGCCACTCGTCAGGTGTGTTTCGACAATGAGGTGTTCTCTGAATACACTCCTGCTACGGGTCGGAAACTTCACATGGGAAACTCCTCCACGTCTGATGTGGCTGGAGTGGGCACGGTGGTGCTGAAGCTCACTTCTGGAAAGGAGTTGAAGCTGAAGGATGTTCTGCATGTCCCAGACATCCGCAAGAATTTGGTCTCAGGAACATTTCTTGTTGAGCATGGATTTAGGCTAGTGTTTGAAGCTAAGAAGTTTATTCTTAGCAAATATGGTATATTCCTTGGTCGTGGTTATCTCAACAAGGGTTTGTTCAACAAGAATGTAATGACTGTGAGCCGTGTAACCGTTTCTAATGATAATAAAAAGCCTATTTCTGTTTATACCGTCGAATGCTCTGACTTATGGCATATTAGATTGGGACATGTAAATCTAAATGCAATTAAACGGTTGATGAAATTAGAATTAATTCCTAATTCTAAAGTTGAAACAAATACAAAATGTGAAATTTGTATTGAAGCAAAAATGGATAAGTTGCCTTTTCATTCGGTGGAAAGGAGTACTGAACCATTGGGCTTGATCCATACTGATGTATGTGATATGAAAAGTGTGCAAACAAGAACCAATAAAAAAGTATTTTATACCTTTTATCGATGATTGCACAAGATTTTGCTACTTA